AAAACATCAGAATTTATTTTTTTAGGGATGTGTAGTTGATGAAAAATACAATAAGACAGTATTTCCATCCATCTATTGATGTTGCCAGACTCATAAAGAAAAATTTAAACCTCCTATCACCATCAACCTCGTGGGCTGTGTACGTCCCTACAAACATATATAGGGTAAATACGCGTATAGATAGAATAAAGACAAAGTAAGTAAAGGAACACATGGTACCTGAATTTTTCTCGATCAACCTGGCTGTCAAAGACGAGATCTAGCATGGGTATATGCTCCTTATTACAAAGTCTTTGTCGAGTTTGCAATCATGCATCTGCATGTCTTGAGTAACAATCACACTTTTTGCTTCCTCTGTATATGGAACTATCCACGGGATCTGTATCCACAATTATACATGGTAAAAACGTAGATAATAGTTTTAGGAGATCACCGTGATCGGATGTGAATCCCTGAGCGGAAGCGTATCTTTGTTCATCAATTTTGTCAATTTTGAGAAACAAAATCAAAGGTTCAAATATGAAATACAGGGGAAAATTGTTTACCTTTGAAGAACTTTTCTTCAATGGATTAACCTACGAACACCATCAAATGGTCTTCCGTGCTATCCTATGGGTATCAAGATCGTACTTGTGGGAGCAATCGATTTGGAACTTCAGGGAGAATTGAGAGAGAGATTGAGGGAGTATCCTTGCTCTTGCAGGAGAATCGGTTTGGATCTGTATTTTCCCTTTCATGATCAGGGCTTGTTACTTGATTAGAAAAATTTGGCTCCTCTCAAGTCCATTAGTAATGTATGGTTCTGAAATGTCTCTTCTAGTAGTAAATGTATTGGTGTCAGGAGATTTGGTCACACTAATGGGTGATGAAAATTGTTCTTCCTCCAACGTGGCAGTAATTTGTTCAGTAACTGGAGCATCTGCTATGAGTCGTCTACTGTTGTTTGAGAGATTCAAATGCTTCTTGGATATATTAGTTGAAGTGTGCACTTTGGGACACTCTTCTAATCCTGCAAATTCAGTAACTTCAAGTTCCTCTGGAGAGGTGTCAATGGAACGTTTCTTAAAGGGAAAATAACTTTCATCAAATATCACACGTCTTGAAATATAAATTCTATTTGTAGGAGGATCAAGATACCTAAAGCCTTTGTGAGAAGGACTATACCCAATAAAGACACATGGAAAGGTTTTCTTAGGAAATTTATTTTTGGAGTAGTTTCTAAGACAAGGGAAACACCTGCATCCAAAAACTCTAAGATTATTGTAGCTAGGTTTCTGAACAAAAAGTTGTGAGAAAGGGGATAAAGAGTTCAAAGACTTAGTGGGCATTCGATTTATAAGGAAAACGACAATTAAGAAGGCATCTACCCAATATTTTTCAGGCACGTTAGCTTCAAATATTAAACTTAGACCAGTTTCTACGATATGCCTATGTTTTCTCTCTGCTATACCGTTTTGTTGGCGGATATGAGAACAAGAGAATTGATGATGTATTCCACTTTTTTCTAAGTGTTGTTTCAAAGCAAGAGATTGGAACTCACCTCCTCCATCACTTTGGAACACTTTTATTGTCCTATCAAGTTAACCAACTTTTGAAATTTAAGAAAGCAAGTAAAGAAATCATATTTTTTCTTTAAAGGGAATAACCAAGTAAACCTAGTGCAATCATCAATGAAGCTAGTATAATATTTAAAAGATTGACATGATAAAATTGGTGCCGGCCCCCACAAGTCACAACAGATTTTATCCAAAGGATTTAAAGATACATGATTACTTGATGCAAAGGAAAGTTTACTACTTTTACTCAACTGACAATTAACGCAAACATTCACCTCCTTCGTCCAGCTTGACACATCGATGAGTTGTTTATCACAAAGTAATTTAAGAGATTTATCATTCATATGTCCCATTCTCTTACGCCATATAGAGTATGGAGCCTTATTGGATGTAAAGAAAGCGTGAAAAATAGAGTTTTGTTGTTGTCGATTTGCATCTTGTAACTGTAGAGCACAAAGACCTTTTTCAACTCCTTTTGCTAATGTCTTCCCCTGTTTATCCTTAACAATAAAACCATCAGCAGAAAAAATAATAGAGCAATCATTTTCTTTAGTTAGTTTGCTGATGGATAATAGATTTTTTTTCATTTCAGGCACAACAAGAACATTTTTAATATCTAAATTTCCAGATTTAGTTTTTAATTTCATATTCCCCAAGTGTGATATATTTAGTCCATTTCAATCTCCTACATACATTTTACTATGTCCGTTATATTTATGGGTAGAAGTTACTTTACTGAGATCTGTCATGATGTGAAAGGTGGCTCCATAATCGGCATAAATATTTGGATCACTACTGTCACTTATTGCTAGCGCTGCCAATGCTTGTGGAACATCTTCTGGTTGGTATGTGTGATCAAATCGTTTGCGACATTGAAGAGCGGAATGATTTAGCTTCCCACAAATCTGGCATGAAACAATTAGTTCTTTGTTTAACCCGCTGCTGTTCCATTTCTTAAACTGATCTATAGCAGCATTTTTTCGAGGAGATTGAGCAGAAAATTGTTTCTGCAATCATTCAACTAACTGATTGGGTTGTTTGTTGTAGTGAATCAATGGTAGAACTTAAGACCTCCATAGTAGGCAGTTCGAGAAGTTCAACTTGATTGAAATAAGACTTGAAGTGTCTGAATGCTCAGAGGGCTATCCATCTTTGCCATCAAACTTATGAAAAATATAGCATTTTGGATTGAATATCAATTTCCTTCGTGCACAGCTCTGATACCATGAAAAATATCAGCCTACTGTACTAAATCAATTGAATCATTTTTTTTTATTACTGAGGCTGTGGGTGTAAACCCGTTAAATATACAGCACAAAGGATTCCTTCCCATGGTAAGTTTGACTATTGGGTACATTAGGAAAGTAATTAAAGTAAAATAAAAGAGATATGTCAATGGTAATATTAATATATAGCAAATAAAGGAAATAAAGAATACTTGCAATATAATCAATTGCAATTACTCAACTAAGAATCTGCCTTTGATTTGGTATACCATGGGTGCTACACGTCAGAAATTCATGTAAATATTGGTGCAGATGAGGATGCTGCTGAGCTGGCACTGACTGGGACAAACGTGGCACGCTGACTAGGGCGTTTCTGTATGGGTGCTTTTACACAATCACCAAATAAAAACCAAATCTAGGTTTTCGGAGACAGGACTAAACAAAAGCCAAGTCATATTCTTGGGACCAAAATATAATTTACACTAAATTTTAAGAAATAAATTATACAAAATGTAAAAACTTTTATTCCTTTCATTTTTGGAAATTTGCCGTTAAGAAATATCCATAATATTGGAGTATACACGGATAAGTAAAGTAGTAATTGGGTTTTGGGGTTTGGGCTCCATATGCATTATGAGTGGTTATTATGAAACTATGATGCCCACACCAATAATTTGGTGACCAATAGCTTTATTGTTAATAATTTTATTGGCCCCAAAATCTAATTCCATAAATAAAATACTAACATATTATATTCCCTTTCATTGAACCTACTAAAAATATCTTGAGAAAATTTAAAAATTATAATATATATTCCCTTTCTTCAACTCTCCTATTATATTGACATGATGTTTGTTGTTTTGTGAACTATCCATAATGTTAATTTAAATGACATGATATATATGATATATCTAATATTATTTTAAATGACCGGAAGTCCAGATTGACGAGTTGATGAGTAAGACCTGTAAAATAGAGTAAGACTTCTGACACTCAAGTTAGCTGTGTTTATCCGATCTATGCTCGAAAGTGTATAGTCTCGCATACCTAAAAATGAGGTGGAAATCTCTATTTATAGAGGTGAGCTTTCGATAGGACCTTCGATGACGCTACAACGATTCTCCGACAACCTCGAGAATCGCACCATGTTGTCTAAGATTCTGTTAGAGGTATGCGCTTGCAGATGCTTTTGATGGTCGACTCGTTCTCTGAGGAGGCATGCGAAGGTACGGAAATTGGATCGACTTGACCTTTAACCAAACTTTTGACCAGTCGTAAAATATTTCGACTCGACCTTCAGGACGGTTCACCCTTGTTGAGATATGGATGATTGACGAAACATGGCTAGTGAGAAATCATGATCAACAATAAGATATATATTATATATGTTAATCACAATCACTTATTTTATTTGTGGTGTTTTCTTAATTAGTTTTAAATTATGTGTGATTTATTTGTTGATTAATTAGAGACATCTTTATAGTTTGATTGGAAGAATATATTAATTTATTCTTTTTAGGACCATTTGGTAACTTTCTTGATTATTGTTCAGGTTTATCGTTTCTTCTTCTCTTTTATAAAAGAAAATTGTGTAAGATTATTATTTTTTCTTAAAGAAAAGAAAAATATTGGATAACAATTTATAGCTTGTTCTTATTCTATAAAATAATTAAAAAAAAATTAAAGTTTTACCTGAAAATAAAATCTTTAAAATTATAATTGTTTTATATCTATTTACTTTTATGAGTAAAAATAATAAAATAATACAATTTAATTTAGATTATTCAATGCCTCAAAAAAAGAAAACACTATATTATTCCCTAGGCGCAAGTCTTGCTTCATTGCATCAAATGGATCCTTTAGTTCTTACCACCAACATAAGTTTTTTCCATCAGTAGGACGATGCCCAACAATTGAAAGAAAATAGCGAACCAAATACTTTTGTCTTTAAATACTACATATTATATTCAAAAAATTAAATCATACCAAACAAACTATTGGTTAACGTCAAGGATTAATTCGATGGAATAAAAATTATTTGGTCAAAATCGACTAGCTTGGTGAAATACAAAAATTATTACGAACTTAATTCGAATTGTATGTGTTTTCTTGATCTCCTTTACAAATTTCAGTTGGGACAATATAAGATTTAAAAATGATAATAGAATTTTTTATCCAAAAATTAGAAACAAGAAATTGAATTGTTATCGAACTAGTCTAATTTTTTAGTACAACAAATATGAAATGCAGACGGGAAGGCATGAATCATTGAGCTAAGTTCATGTTGGTGTATTACCAAACAACCTCACCATCAACTTTAAGTATTAACTCGTTTGAATCGAAATAACGAGGTCGAAATCACTAACTCCAGTTAACAACGAAAATAAAACTATAAATTTTTGGAATTGGTAATTTGTGGTATGTGTTTTCTTCTTATTTACAACTTTTTGGCAGGGGCAATAGGACTTAAGAATTGGCCTCAAACATTCTTTCTCTTGCATTTGATGCCTGCAAAGTCCACATTAATAACCCAATTTATAGCATTCAAACAAAGAGAAAAGAAAGAAAACTGTCCCCCATTTTCATGTTTTAGAGAGAGAAAATGGTCCTGAAATTTGAATGAGTTTAGAGAGAGAGAGAGAGAGGACCTGTTTTTGCCAATTAGTTGAAATGGTAATGAGAGCAAGGAGAAGTGCTTGCAGAGAAGAGCCAATGAGCAATCCAATCCAAAGTCCTTTCACTTTCAAGTGCACGATGAAGGCCAAAGCAGCACCCACTGGAATCCCACAAAGGTAGTATGCCCCAAGGTTTACGTATGCCCCTAATTTTTGCCACCCACTCCCTCTTGCAACCCCTGAGAATTAAGTTTTCATATCACACTCCCGACGCCTAAAATACTTTAGGTCTGTTTGGTAACATTCTCGTTTTTCATTTCTCATTTCCAATTCTTTTTAACAAATCTAAACATCTTTTGCAACYGAATATGTTTCTTATTTTTTTCGAGAACATTTATAAAAATTTTAGAAACAACCAAAAACAAGTTTTTTCTTCTTGTTCCAATTTCCGATTTGTTCCAAAATATAAATAAAAAAATTGACTTATCATACTTGAATTCATAGATGTTGGGCGCATGCAATTCATTTTTCTTGATTAAAAGTGAAGAAAAAAGAATAAGGAACAGGAACGTTACTGAATGGRCCTTATTTTAGTCGTTTTACTTTTAGATTGGTTAGTTCATGTAATTTCAAAACGTACATTTTAATCTCTATACTTTAAACTTTGTTCATTTTAATTTTTGTACTTTTGAAATTTCTATTCTTATCCCTGTACTTGTAAAAAGTGATAGTCTTATCCATCAAATTTCTTTAAATATAGCCATAATTTTGTACTAAGGGATTTTTAGGGACTAAAAATTTTGAGATAAAAACAGATGATTTAGAAATACAAAGATTAAAATAAATAAAGGTTGAAAGTTCGAGAGTTAAAAGTATATAGACCAAAATCGTACCAAAGAAACACGAAAGGTAAAAAATGACCTGAAAAAACAGCTTGGAAACCATCCACAATGAGTGAAAGGCTAATGAGAGGCCCCATGGCTGCAATTTGGTCCGCAATTTCCTTCTGGCTGCTAAAAGCGAACCCCAACACACGGCGGCAGAAGAAGAGAGCGAGGCTGACGGCCACCAGCTCCGCCGCAGCCACCGCCACCACAATCTGAACCGCCGCTTTGGCCGCCGCCGGATTCCCAGCTCCCAATTCATTTGAAACTCTTGTGCTATATGTAATGGAAGCAAATGAACCAATATTTAATAACAAAAAATAACATTTTTATTTACATGTTTTTTTTTTTTGGTAAATAACTTTTTACTAACCTCGCTGTGGCTCCAAACCCATATGGTATGAAGTAGTGCAGATAAGTTACTGTGAAGCTGCTCCCAAAAAAAAAATGTATATATATAATATGAAAAGAAAATATGTTAAAAAAATTTATTAGACAATTGATATATACCTATGCTCCCTAATATATTATATATTTTGTGAGCATCTTGATACTCCTCCCTAAATAAAGAGAATTATCATTAAAAGCTTCGGAGCATGCTAAGGAACTCGCTTTTCTAATAGTATACTCTCTACGAACCCGTAACCAAACAATTTTGTTTATTTTTTTTTTTAAATATAATATTGTAATTAAGGAGTCAGAATTCGAATCTTCTCCTTTAAGAATGTTACTAACTTGTCAGAGTTGTAATTATATTTAAGCTAGATACACTAATTCATTAATTCTTATTTAGTATCTTGATTTTTTTACTTTTTTATTTTCAATAAAGGTAGCGGATTTAAAATTTCTAAACTTTAAGGTCGGTAATTATTACTTGACTAGTTGATCTTCACTTATAATAACATATCTCTAGATCTTTGCATATAAATATTTTAACTTTGTAGAAATAATTCCTTGAATGACTGATTTTCTGCATCTTTCTATGTGAAAGAATGGACAACAGCCTCTTCCTGCTGCGAGGGCGTTGCACGAAACCAAACCGCTCCCAGGGGTAGGTTTATGAACCTTTATATGCCATGCATAATGAACAGTTAGTATAACGAAAACAAAGGTTTAAAAATTTGACTTGAAAATATGCCAAAGTGGGGCTTCGGGCTAAATATTAAGTTTAGATATGATTAATATATTACAAAAAGGTGTTGTTCTACCTTTTGTAATATATTAATATTTGTGGGTTTTTATCTCAAAATTAATTGATGAATTCGTCCCTTCAAGATCATGACTTTTTTTACAGTATCAATCTTGGTCGGTTCCCATTTATGAAACAAGGATGAGAGGAGTAACCATTTATATTATAAACTTTTTGTTAGGTAATTTATCTTATCCAAATCTAATATAATACTTACTACTAATTTTTTTTCCACAAAATGTAATTTCCTAATAAGTCTAGAAATGCAATTCTAAGAACAAAAAAGGGCATGTTTGCATACCATATAGAAAGCACCGAGGCCTCCAATTTTGGATTTGGTACAAGCCCAGAGAGCAAGATTATTGCCTCATATGACCACCATTCAAGGCTACAAACAAACCCAGAAATCATTATATATCCCTCATGAAGTAAACAACACTAGGAAAATAAGAATAATTCAAAATTCATCATCTTAATTAAATTTTACCACACCATCACTGCTGAAGGAACGGCGAACCGAAAGAACACGGGCACGCTCCGAACGACATCGTTCGAGACCTGGGCACGGGTGTTCTTGCACGACAGAGAGAAGAGCATGTACAATCCAAGCAAGACCACATTGAGCCAATAGGACAACCCAAGAGCCAAGGCAGCCCCAACACTTCTCATGTTGATTTTAAACACAAGAAGCCAACAAACAGGAATGTGAAAGCACAGAGCTGCACAAGAGGAGCACAGTAATGGATGGATCAAGCTCTGGGCCTGAAAATACCGAACCAACGACTGAAGCACGGCGTAGGCGACGAGGTTTGGGATCAGTGAGATCGCGTATTTGCCAGCCACAAGGGAAATGGAAGGCTCCTGCCCCATCCACAACAGGAACTTGTCTGTGAAGATCCAAAGGATAGAAATTGGAAAACATACCAAAAGGAGAGAAATAATGGCTGTGTAAGTGTAAGTTCCAAGCTTTTGATATTGCTCAGCCCCATAAGCTTGGCCACATAGAGTTTCCAACGCACCAGCCATTCCAAACTGTTTCACAATTAGTATAAATAATCACCATCAACCTTCAAAGTTTAAGTTAATCTTCTTTAAAGATTTCGAACATATTAATTACTTCATGCTCTATATTAAATCAACACTAAATCTAATAACTTTAGCTAATAAATTATGATATATTTAACCATTTATATCTATTCTTTTAAAAAACACCCATCCCATTTGATAAGGATTTCCAGCAACTTCTAGAGCTAATTCGGACTAAACTTGATCACTTGGCGAGAGGGTATAGGAGGTCTTTTTGAGCACAAGTTTTTCATATCGAGAAAGTGGATTTCATTTCATTCTCCAGAAAGCCTGTCATACTATTCCACTTTAGCTAAGCTAATGATGAAACAAGATCTGGATTTGTTTGCTCAATTTGGTAAGTTTTTTACTTTTCTTATTTCAAATCTTAACCCAATTTCAAAAACAAAAAAGTTTTTAAAATTTATTTTTTAGTGCTCAAAATTTGCTTTGAAAATGTTTTTAAAAAGTAAACTAAAAAAAGAAACACAGGATTATTATTGAAAGTAGTATATTTTGCTCTTAATTTTCAAAAATAGAAACAATAAACAAAATGGTTATGAGTTATCTACGAAAAGCTTAAATTTTTTTGACCTACAACCCAAAAGCTTAAGCTTTACATTATAGGGTCGAACACAGAATCTGCTACTCTAATACCATATTAAATATGATTGAATCACATAGATGAACTTAAATGCTTAAGTTGATGGATTAGAGCTATAAATTTAATCATTTATAGGATATCTAACAATAAGTCGTGATTTAACAATTTCATAACAATTTGAGTTTATAATTTTTTATTAATAGTTTCTCAATTAATAAAAAACTAAAAACAAAATCGTCATTAGGGCGAGAGAATATTACGAGCAGGCTGAAGCCAGTAACACTGGTGAACGATGTAGCTATCGAAACGCCCGAAAGCAAGACTTCATCGCCAAGATGTCCGACCATCATCACTGAAACAACCTGTAAAAGATACTGCAAAACCGTGGTTGTCACCATGGGAGCTGCCATGAAGCTCACTTTCTTCAACTCTTTCACAGAATCCCTCCACTTTTCTCTCATTTTCTGCCAGCCAAACAGCTTTCTTTGTAATATCTGATAAAAAAAAGAGGCATGCAACTATAAAAATTGGTGTTTTTATCTTCATTTGATCATGCAAATGAATTTGGACCATACCTTTAATGAGTCCTCTTCCACTTGGTTTCTGTTTTTCCATACTTCAATCAGTATGTGATTGTGACATTAAAAAACACAGCAGAAAAAGAGAGTTTAGAATGAAAAGAAAAAGATATATACTTTGGAGGGGCTAAGTTTTTCTTCTGATTTGGTATATTTATTTTATTGTTTAATTAAGCAACAAGAAAATTATGGCTTAGTGCGTGGCTTTGCTTTGCCAAAAGTTAAAAGATACTCATCCAATCCAATCGTTGACTGACATCTGTTAAAGGATTTATAAGTTTATAATATAGGTGAAATACTCATCTCATCATCAATTGACTTTGAGATGAAATTCCACGAATATTGATATGGTTCAAACAAACATCATCTGATTTAACTAAGATTGATGTTCCAAAAAAACTACCATTTTAAGGGGCATGTTAAGAATCCTACATTGAAAAGATTAAGAAAATTAACAGAGGTTTATAATATAATTGAACTACTACTTTTATCGTCAATTAGTTTTGAGATGAAACTCGATGAATATTGATAACAATTAGATTGTTTGGAATCATCAGCCCATTAGTCCTCACTCTACAACAAAGAATAATACTTAGGTACAGATAATCACTATTAAATTTTTGACGAGTAGGAAAGAGAAATACAGAAAGAGAGAATTTATTTCTTTAAAAAAATATCAAAAAATTGTCAAATTTTAAAGGGTGATTTACATGAAGATCTGGTTCCTCGTTAGATTAATATCAATCATTTTTAAGATCTTCATTTAAAAAAAAAAATTCAATTTATAACGAAATCAAGTCATCTCATCCAAATTTCAAAACACAAGTATTAGGCATGTGTTCCATCATCAGTTGATGTTTATAATACAGAAACTAAATATAAGCATAATTATTCATCCTTAAAGATAAACATCATCCAAAGTTAATTTTTTCTTAAAGCTTATAGATGAAATAAATTTAACCATTAAAACATGTCAAGTCTAGTGGATCGTCATTTGTGTTGACTTTCTAGATCATGATTCCTAATCGTGCACTCTCTCAAATGACGTGGCTGCATGTTTACCGTTTGATTTAAGTTATAAAATTTATATTGCCAGCTATAATATTTTTACGAATAGGGTATCTTCCAAGTCGTTCATGGAGTCATAAGAACATGGCTACATGATTTTGTTTTGATTCTTACTTTATTCTGAAGACGAGATATTTGAGGGTATATTATATTATTGGATATGTGTGATTTTTCATGAAAAGAGTGTCACCAAATGTCATTTACTAACATGTTTTAAACATTCTAAAATAATATTCAATATTTATCGGAACATGTATATTTGTCGGTACAAATCTTGTTCATCATGCCAACATGAAAATTGGCACCATTCTTTGACCAAGAGATTATGAGTTCGAATTCTTCCATCTCCAGTTGTTGTATGGAGAAAAAAAAAATCTTATACATGACAACTATTCACAATCAAATTATATTGGAAGTTCAGTTAGCTTGATTCATTGTCTTGACACATACCTGAATTTATAATTTTTAGATACACTTGAATTTCTTAGGTACATGCAAATCAACGGATTAAGATACATTAATGATATGTATACATGTATCTATATTTAGTTTTGTGTCTTATATATGTGTCTATTAGGTATTATATAAAGGGATATCATTAACCTAATTTCTAACCAAGCAATTGAAGCAAGAAAGAAAAGAGAGTTTCAAGAGGAATTAACAATATTCTTCTTGGTGTATTCTTGAGTACTTTTCTAATACAAATTAGTCATAGCAATTGGAGCAATCAGTGAGAGTTAATCAATGCTTTCAATACAAATTAGCTTCCCAAAATACATTATATGATTCATATTTGGAATTAAAGTCACATGATTGCAATTTAGCAGGAAGATTCTTCATTGAAGATGCATGTTTACTCAACTCATTAAGAACTAGCTCTAGAACCCCTTAGTTTAGACATGAAAACATATATTACTGTTCAATCTTATCACTACAAGAATATTTAGTTTTTCCGACGATATGAATCGTCGCCAAAAGTCAGAAATTCGTCAGGAAAAGGTTCTGGCAACGCAATTCTATTGTCACCACAATCGTTATTATAGTCCCATCGCGACAGACCTATGGCGACGAATTTCAAATTTTACTGCCAAAGGTACCATTGGCAGCAAATTCCCTTTTGTTGTCACAGGTATACATGGCAATGAAATAAGTTTTGTCAGTCGTAGACACTTATGATGATGAAACAGAATTCATCGTCAAAAGACAACTAGGGCAACAAAAATTATTTCATCGCCAAGTATAACTACGATGACGAAAGGGAATTCATCGCCAAAGATACCTGTGGCGACAAAATTCAAATATCGTTGATGTACGTACACTTTTTCTTTTTTTGGACAATATTTCTATTATTTTCCAAAAGAAATATAATTCGAATATTAGAATTGGACACGAGTTCAAATTTATCATATAAATATTAAACAAAATCTAGTTTTACAATCTAGTATAAAAAGTTTAATACAATAAGCAAAATTCGACAATCTAAAATTATTCTAAAAAGTTCTTAAATCAAGTCTTAATAAAATCTTCCCTACTTCGATAGAGAAATCAAACGAATCTGAAAAAAAAAAAACAAATGTCAAATAAACTTGTGTGAACAAAATAATTAATTTAATGTTAAAAAACCAATTTGCAAGCCATAAAAATGTCTAACTCACCCCACATGCCATAAACTCAAACTAAGCATTCAAAGACAAAATAAACATTCATGATTCACATGCCATAAATTCACCACTTCCATTCAAAGTTAACAAACGGATCAAAACACATTTCAAATTCAAAAAAGTTACTCTTAGTGCCTAAAAAGCCTTAAAAAACATGCACACTCACCAATTCACTTCAAATTCAACAAACTCATCCAAAAACACTTCAAATATTAAAAATAAAAAATAAAAAAAATTGTCCAAACTTACTTACTTACAAACATGTGTATAACTCATCCAAACTCAATCCAAATTTCACAAACTAAAGAAAAAGTATAAGAGCACGCCCCCACCCCCACTCCCATTCAAAGTTATTAACAAACTCATCAAAACACAATTCAAATTAAAAAACTTACTCTCACTACCTAAAAGTCTTAAAAACATGCACACTCACCAATTCACTTCAAATTCAACAAACTCATCAAAAAACACTTCAAATTTAAAAAAGTTGCCCAAACTTCATTAAAAACAAACATGTATATAACTCGTCCAAACTCAATCCAAATTTCACAACATCAAAACACAATTCAAATTAAAAAACTTACTCTCAATACCTAAAAGTCTTAAAAACATGCACACTCACCAATTCACTTCAAATTCAACAAACTCATCCAAAAACACTTCAAATATAAACATAGCTAAAACATTTATGACCACATTCTAAATAGCTACCATAACTGCAGGATAGCCACATGTACAGTCATAAAATTCTAACAACGCTCCATATGGTCGTACTTATTTTGATGAGCTGGCTCCACCAGAACGAGTTATAAATTTTAGCATTATTGATCTCAAATTTGACACTTCACCACATAGAATCGTAATCTTATAGTAGATATTTCTTCAGACAATTCTTGGTTCCGTTGTGAAGAAGCTACACTAGATGTAGATTGAACCTTTACAAGATTTAGGTTTTGGGCCCCAACCACTTTTGACGTAGCCTGATCGAGACCCAAGAACTGTTTGAATTACTTATGGGTCTGACATTGGTTCACTACCTTCTACAGTAGATTATTCTATGAGACGCTCCATGTTTGACTACACAAATAGTTAAAAAGTAACAAAATGTTCACACATACAATTTAAAGCGCAATTTGAAGTTAATTATTATAAGAGTAGTAAACTTATACATAAGCTGTCTTAGCACCCTCAACTCATCTTTTAATATTAGAGTATTTAGTCTTCTTGAACAAATCGAGTTCACCAAAAATTTTGCCTCCCTCTTGATCTTTCTGCACTTGATAACACATAGTTATTTATAGTCATAAATAATGAGGTACATGAAAGAAAAAATATTATCGCATTATACCTTCTCCTTGGCGATAGTAGCAAATGCTTTGAACCCAACGCAATGGTTGAATGGAAGCTTTGCCTATTACATTTAATGGCCTCAGATTTTTGCTAACAAAAGAAAATTATATCAAAATATCGAATATAAAATATAGAAAATAAGTACAATTAAGATTCGTAAAGTACCTCCACTGGTCTATCTCTCATCTATCGCATAGCATGTTCCAATCTCCTGGTCTTGCTAACAATAATTTAGGTGGGTTGTTGCGAGCAATCTCACGTGTGGGATGACCTCTGTAGTATTTGTACAATTTTGTCATGTACTCCTTGTATGTTGTTTGCATGACATGATAAATGAATTTCATCAAGACTTCGTTTGACTCGTCAAACTCAAAATGACCCTACGAAAAAAAAAAAAACCAAACAAAGTGGAGTGTTATTACTGTTACATCATACAAAATAATAAAATAATATTAAGTAATAAGAATTTTACTTTGAGATGAGTTATAACAACCCTCTTGTCACTTTCTTCAACCCCACTCCAAATGCTAGCATTTAATTAGTTTAACTTGTTTGCGAGTATGTGCCCCGGTTGCGATAGAAAATGTGGTGCACATGCTGTAAGTTGGTTTATTTACTGTGTGGTCACATACGATCCATACCCTTACAGCCAGTTGCATGAACTTGATTTTTTAGATCTGTCAATCGGGTGTATCCTCACACTCCCGTTTTATCCGTATGTTGTCAAACGTTAAACTAATGAGTTAAATACAAATAGCTTATTTATTTAACATATATTTAAATATACCTACTTGGAGGAAAAGATGGAACAGGCGAGTCCGCTTGAGGATCGTATACTTGTTGTAACTTATCTGTTTGGTTTGGACCTACCATTTTTTTTTTTTTGCAAACTTAGACAAACAACCAATAGTATTATATAATAATGAAACAAGTATTCAACATAATCA